CCTTGGGTGTTATGAAAGCTGAGCGGTGACATTTTGCCGGATGTGCCTGGTTACAGTCTTGAGACTAGACTGTACGGGTGCAAGGCTGAAGCAGGGGGCGAGTTGGGAGGCCACTGCAGCGTCTCAGAGGAGGGAGCCCGTGGCCTGGCCGGCCTGGTAGCAGCAGAGGTGGCTGCGGGGTCGGGCTGTTCTTCCTCAGTGCCGTTTCTTACCCTTGTCATTGACCCCGAACTGCCTGGCTTGTCCTATTTAGATTAGTTACTGTGATTGACTCCAATACACTTTCACTTCTAATTATTGTTGGAAAGCAATCTGTCCCTCCTCAAATTGAGGTTTTATTGCCGATATTTTTGACTCGTTGTTAGCATTCTTCCTGGGATGTTGAGGACTATTTAAGGGGGCCCCTTTCGATCCCTAACCTGAAGTTAAGGCTTTTATTTGGGAGCTCCTGCGCTCACCCGGTGGGTCCCTGTCACTTTTTAAAAATCAAAGACATTCTCACGTGAAATTTCCTTCTAGCTGCCCCTCAGCACCCTCAGCTCCCGCGCGATAGGTAAGAACATCTCCATTCCACAGGCCTAGTGCTGCAGCAGCTCCGTGTCCCACTGGGCCGCTTTACAATGACACTGTCTGTTGGTCTGAAGCAACTAAAGGAGCCGCTGTTTCCTCTGTTGCCCAGCTGCTTCCACGGAGAGCAGTGACGTCGTGACTTTTTCCTTGGACCCTGGAATCAGCATGTGGGATCCTAGAAGACTTATAATCAGTCATTCTATTACAAAGGGAAAACGTCACCTCTGTGAGTTTGCTGTGGCTGCTGTAGCCAAGTACCGCAGACTGGGAAGCTTAAGCATCAAAATTGATGCTCCCCCAGTTCCGGAGGCGGGGAGCGCAAGGTCAAGTTGTCGCAGGGTTGGTTGCTGCTGAGGGCCGGGAGGGAAGACCTGCTCCAGGCCCCGCTCCGTGGCTTGCGGACGCCAGTGTCTTCCTGATGTGGGTGCCTGTGTCCATCTTTCCCCTTTGTAAAAGGACATAGTCATATTGGAGTAGGGCCCATCTAATACCTCACTTTACCCTGGTGTTTCTATAAAGCCATCATCTCCACATAAGGTCCCCTTCTGTGGTCACCGACATAAGAGATGGAGGGGACACAGTGCCAGCCCAGGCCCACCTGTCACCCATGTGTGTTCTCTGTAGCCCATTCTCGTCACGCGTCTCAGCCAACCTAAGGCTTCATTTGTTGAGGGTGAGTTTTTTTCCTATGACTTTAGCAGCGGTTGGTGAGTAAAGAAAAATGTGCATTTACAAATGATGATATTTATGACAGTGCATATTTTACATATTCCTAAAATAAACTTCTAGAACTCAGTCTGGACAGCAACAGCGTATGCCATGTAAGTACACAGCTTCCCGGAGGGGAGGGGTAGTTCAGTGTCTGGAGACCAGACAGCTAGACTGCCTCGTGGTTGCTGACCCACCTGCCAGCTGGGGAACCCTGCGGAAGTTACTTAGATCCCTCTTTGACTGAGTTTTCTTGCCTCAAAATCTAGAAATTCAGAGAATTTTGAGACTTTAATATGCTAATCTGTGTAAGGAACATAGACACAAGCCTGATATACAGCAAGTGCTCAATAAATGTTTGACACCGTTATTCCCAGGGAGGCTGCTTTGAACGGAGATGCTCATTTGAGTAATTAGGGTCCTGTGTGTATGTTACAACATTATCTGCTGATTTGTGGAGACAACTGATGTGTTTCTAGGGTACAGTGCAATTTGGTCTGAGAGGACAGTTCTTGTTTGTCCTCACAGTTATGCAAACCTGAAAGAAACATGGGGTTAATTGTAATTATTGAAACACATGTAACTTGTTTTTTGTGAATATTCAATTCAACCAATTGGGTGGTTTTCAAGTTGTATATCTGCTCCTGGGATCATGTTTGGGGCCACAGTGTGAAGGAGGTGGCCTTGAGGGTTTGGGGTCCATGTGACATCACTTTGCCCTGAGCCAGGCACCCCACCTCAGCCAGAAGAGATGCCCTGTTATCTATTGTATACAATACAGTTCTATGTAAAATTTTGTTTAAAAGAGCTCTACTAAAAATAGCTTCAAAACCACGAGCACGGTGTGTAGATGATCCCTATTGCTCCGCCCCCCTGTGGCGTTCATTCCGTGTCTACCCCAGGGATGCAGCTATGTTAATATTAGCCCGAGCAAAACATAATTAGGCAGGTAAATCTACTGCAAAAAGTAATATGGCATAAATTAAGTAAATTAGATATAAATCAGATCAAATATAAAACAACGCATTCCATTACCTGCATCACCGCCTCGCTGCTCAAACGTGGACCGCGGAGGGCAGTCTGATTTTCCTTCGGGGAAAGGGCCAACGCGAAGCCGAGACCCATGAATTGTGTCGGCCCCGGAAGGTGGTGCTTGGCCCATTGAGTGTTAGGGAAAGATGCTGCCGTGTTGGTCAGCTAAGTTTCCAGGGTCAGTAAGTGGACCCACTACCCATCTGTCTTAATTGCTAATGCCTGAACGTGTCTTTGTGTGTGGTTGGAGCAACTGTTTATAAGGTATTATGAAATGCTCATATGGGATCAATTTTGTGGTGAACCGTTTGCTGAGGCTCTTGGTTGGATGGACTCCCACAGGCCTGGTGAGGCTTTCGGTCTGGAGAGCAGATGGCAGCAGCGGGGCGGCATCTCTGCTGTCCCCGCCCCCAACATCTCCAGAGGCGTGGCCTGCTCCCAGGCTCCGTGTGCCCCTCCGAAGTACCTCCCTTCGGAAGGTCCAGTCTCCATCCAGCCCGTGCCTGGAATTCTCCGGGTAGGATCCCACGGGCTGTTTCCTACCAACCCAGCTGAGCACGCTAATTTTCGTCACTCTGTGACCCCTGATTTCAGACAGCTCTGTTGCCGCATGCCCTGCTGTTTGTCAGGTCTCACCTCCTGCATCTGGCTGCCCTCAGTTCGGCGGGGACACTTTCCTCTGTCGAATGCAGGTCTGCAGCAGGGATGACGTTGGTTAGAATGAAATAGAATAGAATTACCTGTTCTGGGGAATTCACAATTGAAACGAGGTTGCTTGTGTTCAGAAATCACAGACTGGCGGAGGTGATGATAGTCAAAACCAGTTCTTACAGTTGATGAAGAACAATCTTTTCCTCGCAGTTCTTGCTGTAGGCCGACCCTCCCCCACAGTCCTTACCCCGGAAAACCCACTTCCCCTTTGCAGCTCACCCTTTGACCAAGGGACCACTGCTGTTCGAGGGCCTGTACATTCTTTTCCATTTGGAGCTCTCTTTGGCAGCTGTGGAGGACCAGAGCCACGTCTTTGTGCTCCACGTTCCTAACTTACTAGGTGTCCAATAGAAATCGGAGGAGCCCAGGGGCTGGTGGGTGGACGGTGAATGGCCGCTGCAGATCGGGTGCTCCCGCTGCTCTGCCGCACCCCGCAATCGGAGGCGGGTCTGCCCTTCCCTCCCCGCCTTCTTCACCCCCTTGCAGGCCCTGGGACCTCACCCTCCGGTTTCGGCCGAAGGTTCCTGATGAGCTGGCTTGTCACATCAGTGCTTCCCCCTCTACATCATCTCTCAGTGCCGCTCAGTTAATTTTCCAGAAAAAAACCATTTCTGCCCTGTTGCTTTCCTGCTCCAAAATGTAATGATTTTCCAATAACCGTGGGATAGAGCTCAGAAATCCTTAGCTGGCCTTCAGGGCTGACTGTGGGCTATCCTTGCTGATCCTCTAAAAATGACTTTAATGGTAAATATTCCAAATACAGTAAAAAACACAACAGATACTCATTTATCGCCCACTGAGATTAAACAGCCATCAGCACTTCCCCATTTACACCACAGATGCGGAAGGCCCTCCCCCTCCTCCTGTCCGCCTCCCTCCCTGCTAGAAATTGTCACTCGCCTTTGTACTTTATTTCTCACTGTTGACTGCGAGCCGCTCGGTCCAGCTGGACTCATGGCTTCCATGAAGTTTCCTCCTTCCTCCTGTTTCCTTTGAGGCCCAGTTCTTTCCACTGCTTCCAGTAGCTTTCCCACCAACCCCCTTGTTTCTAAATCGCTCCCAAGTTATTGTTGCCGTTGCCTACCTAGGGACAACGTTCTGCCTGTGGCAGTTGTTACCGGACAGTTTGATCCTAGGGTTGGGTTTCTGTTTCCCTAATAGTGATGCTTCATCTTGCTTTATATTCCACTTGATTGTCTGTACGCGCTCTTCTCCATTAGGAAACAATGTTGAGAATATGACCTGCATCTTAGTTTCATCCATTTATTCCTTCCTTCATTCTGCAGATATTGACAGAGTGCTGACTTCCAGGCCCCAGGAATTGTTTTAAGCGCCGAGGACGCAGAAATGAACACAGCAGACAGTTGCTGCACTTGTGGAATTTATATTCCAAGACGGGGGCTGGGGGGAGGGAAATTACCTGAATAAATATGTCAAGGAGAATAGTGCTAAGGGGAAGAAGAGGCAGGGAAAAGGCAGAAGGGTAAGGGAGTTCTGTTTCAGATACACTTTACATATGAACACATGTGCCTCCTGCGTGCTCCACCTTGCTGCTCAGCGCAGAAGGTGCTCGGTACCAATGTGTTGAATGGCGCAGTGCAACAAAAGACCTGCCCGTGAAACGCGGCCCTGTGTAGGCCACCGTTTTTGGAAGGCGGTCACAGGAGTGTAAATTTTAGTCCTCTGTCGCCAGGAGTCTATCTGGGTTGTTCCTTCACCCCATCAGTAGATGTGCCCTGGGGAAGTGACAACGGGCTGTAATATTGCCCTAAGGGGAGCCCAGTCGTGGGGGTGGGGGGGACAGTCTCCTTCCCCCTACAATTAACTCCACAGTCAAGTGGAACCAATTTGCCACTGTCTTTCCCGCTGCCCTTCAGCCACTGGACTGATGGAGGTCCAGTGTTCCCCAGGGTTCTTACATGCAGTGGGATTGAACTGTGATACCAAGAAGACCAACGCCCTCTCTCTGATTTTTCTAGCCTCCAGGAAAGGATAAAACCGCTCACCCTGTCGCTGAAAGAGATCACTGCGAAGGTAAGTATGCCCATTTTCTGAAGAAACCTCGGAAGTTTTCTTTTGGCTTCCTATCACGTTTGGCTCAGAGGATATGGGGGCTCTGGAAGGAACGGAGACTCTGCAAAGCTGTTTATTCTACAGCCCAGCGCCGACCCAGAAGGGCCAGGACCCGGGGGCCCCCCAGGGCAGGGCCTGGCTCACCGTCCTGCTGGAATTGACGGCTTGGCCTTTGCTGCAGAGGGAGCTTCCGGTGTTGGGGCAGGACCAAGACCGCGGCTGCACACAGTCAAACAAATGCCTTTGCTCAGTAAGCCTTTCAGGACGGGACTGACTTGGGAAAGCAGTGCTTTTCCTCTCAGGAGGGTGGGGTTCAGGCTCCTCACAAACATCTGGCAAAGGTGTACTAGGTCTAGTTTTCTAAAGTTTTCAGATTGAGTCCAGCCATTTTGCCTATTTCACCTGCCACTTACACTGCACTTCGGGCTTGGTCTGTGTAGAGTTAGAGCAGTCCTTCATCGCGCCCTAGGGAAGCACCGTCAGCTCCGTCACATAGCTGTGTCCTGGCGGGTTAGGATAGCCACAGTTTACAGAACAGAACCCTCCCCTGTAGAGGGGGTTATCCAACCGAGCCACTGGCAGACTGTGAAGGAGGAGCAATTACTCTGAGTTACCCCTGAATGTGCGGCAGAGAGCTGGGCATGAGTCGTGGATTATTTGCACTGGGTCTGGGAGCCAGGGATGGTGGTAAGATGGTTGAAAGGCAAAAAGAGCAGGTTTCTGAGCAGGGAATGAAGCAGACAAGAGTCCCCTGGCCTGGAAGGAATCTCTCTTGTTCTCAGGGCCCAGGGAAGGAGACCAGGAGGACCGGCCAGGGGTCTCGTGGGCCACACAGCTAAGCCAAGATGTTGCTGGCAAAAAGCTCCACAGTTACTCTGGCCCTTCTCCCAGTTTCTGTATGTAATTCATTTCTGAAAACAGCGTTAAACGATTTTGCTAAACAGCACACTGCACAGCAGCAGTTTGATGTGCTGTTATGCGGAAAGGAGAGCCTCCCGTTAGGGTTAAGTCTTGTCCACAGAATGGCGTTGGGAAGGTCTTCTCCCGGATCCAGGAGGAGAGCTTCCCAGGAACATTGGCCCAGAGAAGGGCTGGGTGAGCCCGCCCGAGTCCCCATGCAGAACCCTGGTGAAGGGCTTTCATCTCGGGCTCCCCCGCTGGGTGGGGCTGAGACGTCCCCGCCCCCACCTGGGCCCGCCCGACTGCAGGGACAAGGGAGGCCGGCTGGCTTTCCCGATTTTGTCCTGTGAAGCAGGAGGGGGTTGTGAGGGAGCAGACCTGAACTTCCGTCTACGAAGTCATGGTGACGTCACCCGCTAGTATCCACACCCTATCAGCGTCTGCCACTGTGACCTCCAGGAGGAGCCCAGGGAGGTGAGGATGGGCAGGTGGCAGAATTCTTCCTTCTCCTGTATCTTCAAGTGCGAATATGTGCCCCTTCCCAGAGCGATTTCTGTGTAGAAGTAAAGGGCGGGAGGACTCTCGGGTTTGGGTTTACTGAGCGTCACTGTGTGTGTAATGTGCACGCGTCTGGGTCGCGGCAGTGAGTGTGCAGGTGGCAACATACATAACACAGATGGCGTTTGTGATTGTGTGTTTCACATGACTCATTGTGCACACACACATGCACATTTGCACACAACTTGGGGATTTGGGGATATTTTCCAGCGCCCATCAAAGCTCCTGGATTTGCCCCCAAGCTGCTAGTGGCTAGTTTTGCTTGCATATCTTCTCTAATGCATTCACAGAAACCTGTAATTCCCTTGCTTTTCCATACGATTAAGGAACTCACGTCTAAGATTTTAAAATGTAAAAAGCTCCATTGATAATGAGTTCCTGAGGGTCCAATATTTGGAAAGAAAAAGGAAACGTACATTTTCTGGGGCCGGTGTGTATGTGTGTACAGGTGGGTGTGTGTGCGGGCAGATAGGTGTGTGGTGAGGGGCATATATTAGCCTACAGAGAATTGAAACGAAGCTGTCCGGTCACACAAAATAACTCTCTTTTTGCTTTGGACTTGACCGATCGGTAACCTTGAGGTGAAAGTCACTGTTTGGCAGTGTTCTCTTGATTCAGTGTATTAGAGTTGTAGAGCCGACGTCCTTTTGATTCCTCCCTCAAAGAGAGAGAGAACCTTCCCTCCACTTCATTGTGTTTCTTCTCCTCTTACGGGTTATCCAAAGCAAAGGTAATTAAGGGATAAATGAGATGAAAGAAGTAGTTGGAAATAAATGGGATATCTGGAGATTGGTAGCTATTAGATTATATCCAGCAGTGCCTGAAAGAATGTACTTTGCAGTTGAAAAAGGTTCAGAGAGATTGTTTCTTATTAATAGTGACAGCTTGAAGGATAGGTTTGCTCCGCAAAGGAGAAACTGACCCAATTATGATTAACAGGTACTGTTAACTGAAATCAGAAACATCGGCCATTCGCTGGATGAGACCTAAGAATGGTGGCTGGTGTTACAGAGTTAACAGACACGTCCTTGGACTTTGATGACTTTGTTAGATGAAGGGAAGGGGCTGTGTCAGTCGCCGGGCATGGAGGCTGCCTGAGACTTCGTCCTGGGGGAGACGGTGGCCCGAGCATCTTCCTCTTACCTCCCAGTCCTGACGCCCTGGTGGATTCCAGGACCGTTGACACTTTGGACATGTGGGTGCTCAGATCTGCCGGTGTGGCTTTGTTGCAGGGGCCACCACGCTGTGGCTGTCCTCTAGAGAGCGAGTTTCAGAAAGAGATTTGAGAACTTACAGCCGCTTCCCGGAAAAGACTGTGTTCAAGGCCGCGGGAGAAGTGGCGCAGGGTTTTAGGCCGGGTGGTGAGCTCTGCTTTGATGCAAAGAGCGATCTCAATTTCAGCCTGAGATAAGTGAAACGTTTCAAGTTGATGGTATCCAGCAAGATCTAGAGTCTTCTGGGAAAATTAAATTTTACATTTGCACTGGGCTCTGCGAACCAGAATGGGTTAACTTTAGTTGTTCAATGGAATCTTGTATTTTCAGCAAGAAAAGAGGGATGTCACTAGGGAACATCCTTTGTGGGTCACCCCTGAATGTCCCCATAGTTATGCAGCTGTGCTGTATGTTTTTGTTGAACTGGAAATTTTTCTAAGAAGCTCATTAATCTCAGTATTGACATCAATCGGACATGAAGTTTCCGCCTTAAACAGAAAAGAAAAATCTGGGATGTCTTGGTTTCAAACAAAATAAATGATAACCTAAGACATTTGGAAAAAAGAAGCTGAGATTTAAAATTTTTATTTCTTTTGAAAAAGCAAAGAGAAATGTGAAAAGTGTTTGGAGTATCCTGGAAAAATAAATGATAAAACTTGCAAAGATCTAGGTGTCTGATTTTCCAATCTGACTTGCTGGCAAGTCTCTGCCCTCCAAGCATCACCAGACAGCGCCTGCCGGGATTCTGTCGTGGCTGCCATGCTGCCTTTCATCTCGAGGTTGTGCCCCTTCACCTACTGCCTTCGACGTACCAGACGCAGGACAAAGTCCCTGCGCACATAGGTCTTGTGACCCAGCAGAGAGAGACGATAGGAGTAACAAAGGAATAAAAACCAATAGTGTGTCAGCTGGAGAGGAATCTATGGAAAAGCATGAAGCAGAGTAAAGGCAGGAAGGGAGGGAAGTGATGCTGGTTTTTTTAATCCTCAACTGAGAATATGTTTTTGTTAAATTAATATTAGAGGGAGAGAGGAAGGAGAAGGGGGGGGGTTGGGAGAAACATCAATGTGAGAGAGAAACCTTGATCTGTTGCCTCCCGTATGCACCCCGGGGATTGAACCTGCAACCTAGGCCTGTGCCCTGACCGGCAATCAAACACGACCTTGTGGTGTCTGGGGATGATGCCCCAACCTACTGAGCCACCCTGCCAGGGCAGGGTGTTGCTTTCTGTAGGTAATCAGCCAGGCCTTTCTTCCCAGGGGACGCTGTGTGAGCAGAGGCCTGAGGGGTGTGCATGCGCTGAGCCAGCGGGGGCAGGCGTATTGCAGAAGGAGGGAGTATGTGCCAAGGCCCTGGGGAGGGGCGGACACAGCGGCGACGTTGTTTCAGTTTGAGGTTGTGCTGGTGTGTTAGCTCATGTCAGTTTTGTGTGCAGGTGCCCTGAAAAGTATAGGACCTAATGCTTGGAATGCCAGTGCTCGCTTTATTTTGCTCCTCCCTCCCTTCCTTCCTGCATCGCTTGCTTTTTAAGAACTCTCCTCCAGTTCCTCTTTGTTCCCCCTTTTAAGTACTTACAAACGCAGAAATCTCTGACCAGGCTGCTCCATCGCCTCCTGATTTTTACCCCGATGATTCCTGGCTCTTTCTCTCCCTCTAGGTGTGCAGGACCGAGAAGCTGTGCAGCACTCTGAGGAAGAAAGTTAACGAAATTGAAACGCAGATGTCGGCACTACTTGAAGCCAAAATGCTCGCCGTCTCAGGTAACTGGAAATAGAGGAGACATCGAAGCAGTTGAAGTGGACTGATGACAGCCACCATCCAAGTTTTGTCCCTGATGGGCATTCTGCCTGTGACTTGCGTCACCCTCAGACACTGCAGAGCTTTTCTGGGGAGTTTCACTAAAATCCATGGTCTCCTTATAAAGGGATGGGTAAGAGTCCTAAACGTACACATGCGCATCTGTGTAGGTACCCTATTTTGGACCTCCACTTCCTGTTTCTTGAAGACTAGACGCGCTGTGTGTGCTTCATCATTCTAGCTGGTGTTTCTGTAGCATCCTGTATCTATAGATGCTCAATGAGGATTGTTGGATGTGATCAACCCCTTCCTCTAGTGGGAGCAGCAATAACAGGAGACAAGGTGAGGCGCCCAGTTTAACGGTCTAGTCATACATTATAACTTTTTGGAGATTCTCAACGGATCATAATCCCTCCTTCATCTGGTAATTATTAAGGGATACATTACTACATTAATTGGTAGGTTGAAAACATGAGTTTCTGAAAATAGTGTCTCACCCTGTCACTTGAACAGTACTTTTAAACATTCCTCTGTATTACATTATTTTATTTTTACACCAACTACATTGAGTTGGTGGGAGAGACACGGATTGAGGATCTGAAGGAACAGGTGGGGAGACTGAGGCCCTGGGCTATGCCCTTGGGTGGAGTTCACTCAGTTACTAAGAGGTGGCAGATCGGGGCAAGAGTCCAGGGGTGACATGTGGCTATTTAACCCAGATGTGTAATGACACCCTCAAGTACTCTCTGAGTTTTATAGGTTGGATGAACCCACAGCTCATCAGCTTCAGAAGAATCATCAAAATTTAGCAAAAAGGTATAATAATTACATGTATGGGTTTTAAATGGCATTTTAAGAAGCAATACAATAATTGGCAGCTTCTGCTCCTCAGATCATTAAACAAGTAATGTTGGCAGCTAACGAGCAATTGAGTTCCTGGCGCAGTCGCGCGGATTATTTACAACCAGGAGAACATCGAAATGGGAATGGGGGGCTTGGCTCTTAACAGCTTCTCGTGCCATTTACTTGGAATTATAGCCTCATTTGCTGAGAGAAAAAAAAGAAGCGTGAACACAGCCTTGCTTCTGAGTTAGGGCTTTGCCTTTCTCAGTCAATACATCTTCCCCGGGAATACAGGTGGCTGTGTCTCTATTAAGCCCGAGGGAGGAGATAGATCATTCAGGCAGCAGAAATAGCCCTCGCTCAGATGTGAATAATCTTTTTCAGAACCGCAGGAAAATGTCTTAGGCTGGCGGATTGCATGACGGGCCTCGGTTTTCTGTGGAGCTCTTCCCTCAGCTGGGGAAATCGGCGAGTCCCAAGTTGACTGGACTGGGGGCTCACCTTGCGACCTCCCTGCTTCCGGATTACTCCTTTAGGCCCTTGGCGATGGGCCTTCCAATCAACAGATATCTCCCCAGGGGTGGGGCTGGCAGAGGGGAGGTCATCATTCTCTTGTAACTTCTGCGTAAGGTGTGATTTCCGTTTCCTTTCGTGCTGCACCCCACAGCAGGGAGGGCCTGAGGGAGGAAAAGGTGCTTCCCTTAGGATCCTGGTGGGCCTGCTTCAGTACCCTCAGAACAGCAAAGCCTCACTTCATTAGGCAGAAGCCACAAGGACGACAAGCCTGCTTCCCAGGAGGAGGCTGTTTCTTTGTCAAGGGTTGGAGGCCACGCCCTTGACATTCTTAGAAGCCCCAGTGAATGAAGATCCTAAGGGAAGCCCTTGAGTCTGTATGGGGCCTTTTGTCTGTCTGTCTGAAAGTTTCTATGATTCATCTCCCATCCTGGATTTGGTCAATGGAATGAGGCCTTTTCTTAATTTCAGAATCATTGGCTATAGCTGTAGAGACTAAGAATAAGAAACGGTTTTATTTTCGGACTCAGCAAGTCCTACCTTCTTTACGTTGAACACAGTATTCTTTAACGGCCCTCTCTCCCCTTGCAGTTTATCACAGGCAGCGACCAGAAGCCAGTGGGCGCTTCTGTATTCTGCCTGGAATCTCCTTGGCTACACGATGAACTTCATCAAGAACTCTTTTCTCTGAGACCTCAGTTGACTATGTTTCCAGACTTTCTGTCACCACATTATGTGGGTCCCCTTTTATCCAGCTGCTAGTGATACTTTTCTTGCTCCCCTTCGAGCCTTCACAGAGGCCTGTTCAGCTTCTACCTGGTCCCAGTGCCAATGCCTTGGGTTCTTCTTTAGAAGATTTTACTTATTTATTTTTAGACAAAAGGGAGTGGAGGGAGAAAGAGGGAGAGAAACATCAGTGTGTGGTTGCTTTTTGCATGTTCCACACTAGGGACCTGGCCTGCAACCCAGGCATGTGCCCTGACTGTGAATCGAACTGGTGACCCTTTGGTTCACAGGCCAGCGCTCAATCCACTGAGCCACACCAGCCAGAGCTGATGCCTTGGACTTAAGGGGTTTGTTCCAGCAGCACTTCACTCTTAGATACCAAAATCTGCTCACCTTATTGATGGCTGCATAGGAGACCAACCTCAAGGCTTAGTGACTTAAAACGCCACCAGTCATTTATTTTTCCCGTGAATGTACATCCTGGCAGACACAGCTTGGGGGGGCTCGACTGGGCTAGAGACTCCACGTCCAAGGTCATGTGTGCATTTGGCTGGCAGGTTGGTCGCTCTGTTGGCTCCCGTCGCTGCGAGCCTCACTGCTGCCAGCCGGGCTTCCCTACAGCATGGCTGCTAAGTTCTCAGGGTGCCCCAAGACCCCGGAAATGGAAGTTCCTTATTCCTGAAGGCCTCGATGCAGAAACTGGCATGCGTCTCTGTTAATGTGAGGTCAGTTCCCCCAAACTTATCTTGAGGCAACAAACATTGATTATATCACACAGTCCCTGAGGGCAAGGGGTCTAGATGCAGCGTCGGGGGCGGCTCCAGCCCAGGGACTGTCCTGGTGTGGGGTGGGGCTACGGCCGTCGGCCAAGCTCCCGCCCCTGGCCCTGTCGTAGAGCCGCTCATGACATGCGGCTGATTTCCCCAGGCCAGGTTCCCTGAGAGTGAGAGCAAACAGGACAGAAGCCGATCACTGTGCCTTGTTAGGACTCAGTTTCCAAAATGAGTGGGAGACCACCTGGCCAGGAGGTGACCCCTTGGCCAGCTGTCACTTACAGCTGAAGGTTCCTGGCTAGTGCACCAGTAGCAAAAGGACGTGGTGACTTCTACCTCCGGTTAATTTCGCGTCACGTGCTGGCTTTGGCCCCACATGACTCTGCAGCCTCCTGCCCACTGAACGAGGGTGGACGCTCCTTGGTGGTAAGGATTCCTTTGTCCCTCCTGCTTTCAGGGCTGAGTTCAAAAGCACAGAATCCTGCCGAGTCCCCTCCCCAGGCCATTTATCAACCCTCACCCTGGAGGTCTGGCCGCTGTCACGGCTAGCTCCCGCCCAGCGAGACGAGCAAGGAGAAGCTCGTCTCCCCGAGGCCTGGGGCAGGGCTGACCTAACTGCCCACTTCGGGGCCTGGCCCTTGGGCCTCGCCGTGGATTTTCTGGGTCCAGGTTAAGAGGCCTCTTTCCCCAGGAGGCAGCCCCAGCCCACCTGGGTGACCTGCCCTCCTGGAAATGAAATGAGAGCAGAGGCCTCACGAGGCGCTCGAGCCAGGGAGCTGAGCCTGCACAGGGGCCCCTTCACTACTTTGCTGCCCTCGCCGGGAACTCTGCCCCATCCCAGGCCTTGACTGCCATGGCCCCTCACTAAGCTGTCGGCCCCTGGGCGCAGAGGGAGGGGATGGGCTCGGAGCCTTCCACGGCGCCAGCGGCGGGTGTATGGCTGACGGGTTCTGTGGCTAAGATGTCAACACCGGAAGTGCGGGCCTGGCTCCTCTGGAACTGTCCTAGGTCCTGCCAACAGCTGAGTGGCCTCCGGTGAGGAGCGCTCGCGTTTGAGCCCAGTCGCAGCTGTGGCCTCCTCACCCCTCCTCCCGTTCCCAGGACTTTGCCTGCCAAGAAACAGAACATATTTATGGGGTGATAACCCACGTTTATGACTCAGCGACTAGCATCCGTCCTGCCTGCCACCGGCCTCTGGCGCGGATTTGGCCTTGGACTCTGGGTCGGCGCTGCCGCTGCGACGCAGTCCTGGACGGGCTGCAGCTCCGGCCCGGGCTCCGCCTCCATCTGGGCTCCCCAGCCTGACTGGCAGCGCAGCCATGGCCTGGCACGGGGCCTGCCGCCCCCTGGCCCCTTCCGCTCCCCGCGGGTCAGGGACCGGTGCCTGGCCTCCGAGCCACCGGTGCTGACAAGGCGCCTGCGCTTCTAGCTCCAGCCTCCCGCACCCGAGTCCTCCGCTGTCAGCGATCCGGTCCATCTGTTGCGTCACCCTGCTCTGTTTTTCTTGCACTTTGCCTGATGTCTGGCACTCAAGAGACAGTCAACAAGAGTAATTTTATTTTTTAAAGGAGCCTCATTTATGGATGGCTCATCCCCAGGACTTATTATTTCCATGCGTCCTTCAGGTGTCTCCTCAGTCTGTAGTATGTTTTCTTTCCCACATGCCTTCTGTTGCCTGTTTTCAGAAAATAAACAGTTCAGGTAATCATTTACTCTTTTTTTATTTTTTAGCTGCGGTTGACATTCAGCGTTACATTAGTTTCAGGTGTACAGCATAGACATTTATATAACTTATGTAGTGATCCCCCCGATAAGTCTAGTACCCACCTGGCTCTGTGCTTAGTTAGGACCATATTACTGTGTTCCCTCAGCTGTACGTTCGTTCCATCCTTGTGACTGTTCTGTAACCGCCGATTCCTCCTTCTTAACGCTCTGACCTTTTTCACCCAGCCTCCACCCAGCCTCCTCCCACCTGGCAACCATCAGTTTGTTCTCTGCATTTTTAGGAGTCTGTTTCGGTTTTGTTCGATCATTGATTTTGTTCTTTAGAGTCTACATATGGTGCAATTGCATGGTACCTGACTTATTTCACGTAGCATGTTTTCCAG